TTATTAATTTATTTTTAAGCATCCTGGCGGTTATGATATTATGCTTGAATATGCTGGCACTGATGCAACAATGGCATTTGTTGATAAACCTCACAGTAAAAATGCTTGGTGGTCATTACAAAAATATCTTGTCGGTGAATTAGTACCTGAAGAAAGAATGTATGATAATATATTGTAAACGAGATAATAGTATTATTCTCTTAATCAGTATCAATGATAGAAAAAGTCCACAATACATTGGCTTAAGTGGTGTTGCTAATCATTTTAATTTTGTCTCAATGTACATTTATCATTCAAACGTACAAAAAGAAAAATATAAATAATTAGTACAAGAGAGCATTGACAAAATAATTCAAAATGGCAATTGTTTATTTGAGTATATATGCTATGGAGAAAGTAAAGAATGAACTCTAAACTTCTTTCATAATGGAAACAGACGAGTGGAATCATGAACAAAATATTTTAACATTTCATGTGTCGAGTAGTATAAAAAGTCTAAAATTTTTTAGTTGAAAAGTTATTTGTTTCAACTTTGCTAACTAGTTCGAATACTGACCATAGCACTGAACTGTATTGAACTTCAAAATGTTTATATAAAATTTCAACTTATAAAAATCATGCTAAAAAGTTGTTTTAATTTTATTTTATAGTGAAGTTCAAAATTCATTCTATACTTTCTCTGATCTTGTTAAAAAATCTATAGATTCACTGGTGATTCTGTAGATTCACTAGTGATTCGATAGAATCGCTGATTCTGTATTTTCTCCATGTCATCTACATGTTAAAAAGTGATGATGGAAAAAAAATATACAATCATATAAAATATCCTGTAAATAGTTAACTTATTCTTTTTGTAAAAATCTTTTATATTCATTTTGAAGTTTATTAATGCATGATATTACCACACGCAGTAGTTTTTATTAATTAGAAATTTTCGCCACTTAGTTCTGTACATAATAATAATGTATAGAAGAAAAAGTGAGTATTTTAAATTGGTGAATTAATATTTTTCTTGTAAATAATGTAGATATGTGTGTTTATGTAATATATTGCTCCATTTTGTATTCTTTGGAAGTATTTTTCTTTATTTTAGTTTATGTAGTTATATCTATGTAGATCTATGATATTTTACTGTTAGCAAGTATATAATGTGTAAATAAGAACTATACGAACAAAAATAGTTTCAATATAAGAAAAATGAATAAAAACTTTCAGATATAAAGAACACGAAAAGCTATGAAATTAGAAAATGACAATATGGCAAAATAGCACGTTTTTCTCACGTTGCTGAATATATAGCGGGAGTGCTTTATTATTACTGTACGTCCGCTCAATTGACTAACTCTCGTTCTGTCTAAGAGTGAAGAGTGTGTGCGTTATTGTTTTTGTCTATTTTGTTGTACAGTATTTGATAAATTCATGGTAAAAACGTGGCATGCCTCTTGTTTTGTCAATAAAAGTGTACTGCTCTACAAAATACAGTATTTCCGCTCTAATGTATTAAAAAATGAATGAATTAAATGCAGGAAATGAAGTCGATTGTATGTTTAGTATTGAAGTACTATAAGACTAAACAGTGTATGCGCTTTTACCAGCTAGGCTATAGAAACCATATATTATTTTCCTGTTATGCATCAAAAACCGTCACTATATAGTTCTTCAAGAATTATTTTATGAAGTTTATCGTAGAAGGCATAATAATGAAGTTAAAACTGACATCAAACTTAAAAACATGTCTATACATCAAATACATGAGCAAAAATATTCCTAGATCATTCTTTATTTTAGATTAAATTAGCAAAACGAATATTTCGATGTTCGCGTAGTTCTCATATAAAACGATATTAATACCACTTTCCACTTTTCTGACATATATTTATACATCGATACAATAGAAGATACAAATAATAAGGAATAACATTTTAATGTTAAATACTTTCTATATTTGGTAAAACACTGATATAAGGATCATTTGATAAATTTGTTGGAATTCGTTTTCCAAAAGAATATGCTGGACTAGAATGTTTGTCTGTATGAAATTTGATATGATTATAAGTGCCGGGACCGGGATTTTTTTCTAAACAAAAAAGGGTCTATTATAAACATGTATTCAAATTTCTGGCAGTAATGTTTTTAGATGTAAAATGATATACACAATATTTTCAAATTATAATTGCTTTAACATTTATGTACCTTTCGTTTGATTCCAAAGTTGTGTGCCATTTTGTCTAGATTTTAATGTGACATAAGCGTTTGATTTTGACATATTTCTGAACGCTGACAAAACATCATATGAGTCAGGTCCGGGTACTTGTTCATGGGGTTTAGTTTCAACATTTTCATCTGCTGATGGGAATTTTTGTCCAAAAGACCACGATGGAAAACTAATTTTTACTGGTTGATGCGATCCTATTGTGGGTCGAACTCTGTAATGAAATGGCGTTGGCCAAACAACCTCACGTCCAAAATCAACTTTTCGGGTAAAAGGATTCGAATGACAAAACCATTCTTTATTCCAACTTGTTCGAGAACCTCCTTCTAAAATTAAATAACGAAAGAATTGTCTTTGTCTCGAATGTTCTATTCAGCTTACTCTTCTCAACAAAACAACGAGTACCGAACGTATATGATGGTGCATTTTTCTCTCGACAAGATTTTCGTGGTACCAAATATGAGCAAGGCGACGGACTGATGTCTTCTGCATATTGGATTATGTAGTTACCTGATACAGGATGCGCAAACTCAGGTTTTTCTCTATAATGTACCAATAGCAAAATATCAGTTGTAGAATCGTGAGAAAATATGCAACCAACCTGTATAACAACGAGACAACTTGTGTTTGTGGAAGACTGTGCGGAGTTGATGGTTTATTAGTGTTATTGCGTTGCATCTCTAAAGGTGCACTGTGATTTGAAATCGAATGTTTACGAGTATTAAACATATTAAAAGCGTTGTCATTATTTGTCATTGTCTGTTGGTTTTTTAAAGATTGATTTTTCTCATATTGGTATTCACCAGGTTCAAAGTCGTTATCTTTATCGAGATTGCCTAGTTCCATTTGAAGTCCATCGAATATTGCTGGTTTACGAAAAAGAGAAGGCGCTCCGAATTCGCCACGATTACGTTTTAATGCTAGACGTGTAGGTACTAGTAAACTTTTTGACTTTAATGTTAATGGATCTTTACTGGAATTTCCTGCTCGATGCGTTATGTCATTGGCGAGAGCTAATATTGTTTTTTCTTTTGTATTCATCGACGGCCACCATTCTTCTGTAACTGTTTCGTTGGGAACACGTGATGTTGGTGTTACCATATGTAATTGACTTCGACTGTGTCGACTTTTCGAATCGGTAATACAAGGAACAGAAAGTGTTGCCATCTAAATATAGGACAACTACCAGAAAAAGTGAAGGAATAAATGACTTACTCTTCTTAATAGTAGGTGACCCTAGTCCACTTTCCCTGATGAAGTCCCCGATGAATCCTCAAAATAACGTGAAATCCCTAGGGAGTTCTCAGGAATTTCCTGTGAAATCCCTAGTGACCCCCATTATTTCTCCCCACTCCCTGAGTCGGTGAGTGGGAGATTTAATGAAGTCCCTGGTGATTCTCTAGAGCTTTTTTAGGAAGGATGTACAATGTATTCACCGTTTTGTTTTGCGTCTGCAGAAATATATAAAACATGAAAATTTAAACAGGAACATCTCATCTTTTTAGATTAATTTCTTTCTTTTTTAGACCAGTATAGCTGCTTCTGCCTGAGACTCGTCGGCGTTAACTCGTCGTTTCGACGTGAGTTAACTTTTTCAGCCGAGTGACTTGTCCACTGGATGGCTCAGGTAAGAAAGAATTTTGGAAAGAAAATGGTAGTTTTTCTTATATAAAATAAATTTCAATTTGGTCGGAAATCGAGGAAAAAAAAAGCTAAATTATGTTTAAAATTGAGCACAGGAGTCGAATTCAGCATTTATTCGTTTTTGGGAACTCCCTGGGGAATCCGTTAGGTAATTCTCTGGGAATTTTTTCAGGAAAAGTGAACTAAAGCAGTTTGTGTCTATATTTTTGAATATTTCTTATTTCAAAATCCTTAAAGAACAAAGTTGATTATCAAAGTTTGTGATTACTTTCCGTAAATCAAAAGCTTCAGTGTTAATGAATGAAAAACTGTACCCTACAACACCATCGTACAGTATTCAATCTTACGACTAATGCGACATCTTGGGACAGCCATAGCGGAATGACTTACGTTTTTCACAGGATCAATATAAATGATACTTGTAAGATACAGGAAGCGCTATGATTAATTTCATATCTTCCTCCTATGCAAAAGATTTAAGAGAAAACGGTTAAAATCGTTACAAATTTGTTCTTTAATGTTCGACACGTAATATATATCATTACAAGAAAGAAAAGCGGTTAGAATTTCTTTTATTATTCAAAAGTGGAATCAACAAAATTGAAGAAAAATCATCATTATTTTTAGTTTTTATATTTGAATGGTGCTCATTATGTTTTCTTTTATTAAGTAGATTCTTTTTCTCTTCTATTTTTTGTTAAATATTCTTACGAATATAAAAGTTTGATGTCGATTATTTCATTGTTTTCTCTGTATGAAACGTTAAGTGTTTTGAATATATTGCGCGTGCTGTCTGATGAAAACTGTTAGCAAAAAAATCAGACAAAAAAAAGTGTTTATTTTCATTGTATGTTTACTTTAAATTAGCTTTAATGATGTCCCTTACGCATCAAATTTGAACAGTTTTTTAGTTGAAGCATTGCGTACAGCAAACAGTAGCATACTTAATCAGTTTGAATTAACTATTGTTTGTTTGTTGTTATTCAAAAGACTAAAAATTTTACAAAAAACCGATTTGATAAACTCATATTTCTTGTTATTGAAAACTGATGAACGTGGTTTTGAAAAAACAGGCTTGTTCTTGAGCATTTTTCTGAACAGATACTTCGTTGTCTTTATGTAATAGTCTATAACGTGTTCCATTTATGAATAGAATATCGATGAATGGATAATGATTATAACTTTTCAGAAGAAAACAAATTAAAATTAAATGATGAAAGGTTTTTTTCGATACTTTCACAAACATTTTGTACTTTATTTTTTCTAGTACAAGCGAGAGACTAACACTATTGCACTCAGCCGAATATTCATGCAATCTAATCCGTTGCCAACTATTCTGTTTATTAGGCAAAGAATAGAATTAACCACCGGTTTGCTAAAACAAACATCAGAAAGTCTGTGTACATGTGCATTGGAATATAAATAAAAGTTATTTTTATAAAGAAAAAACGATGTATTTTGTTCATAGCGAAAAACCTTAAATCTATCAAAAAAAGAATAACAGTGTGAGAATACAATTTCACAAAACTGAAAAAATCAAACTAATCATTATCACGGCATTCAAGCACCATTCTGCGAAACCTTTCAGCTCCGTTTAATCTTGTTTTTTCTATCTCATTTAACATCGGTTGTTCAACAGCAGAACTATTTTTTGATAAAGTCGAATATTTCTTAACTAAATCATAATGTTTAATCGAACCAAGTTTGACTAGAACATGAGCATTGGCTGTTGTAAGTGGTCTCGAAGATGTTGCAAGAGGTTGTTCATTAACAGATGAGGCAGGTTTTTTATCGATGGATAAACGTGGTTTACGGTGTTGAACAGGTTCTCGTGCTATAGGCGTTAAATCATTGTTATTAGAAGACGAAGTCGTAGATAGCAGAGAATGAGTGGCCCGAAGAGGTTGTGCGCTTGGACGAATGTTCATTGTACTATCAAGTGACGAACGAGGGCTGGATAAAGCAGTTGAGCTAGTTGATGAACGTCGACTATTGTCGTTTAAAGAATCTTGCCTAGAATAAAAAAAAAGTGTCTTGAAACCCGGTAAAATCGGATTGCACTCTTTCTATAGTCAAGATCTAAACTTATTTCGTACATATATCCTATTAGTCAGTTTGAGTTTTCACAACTAGCAGAGGCGAGATAGTAGGAAGATATTATAATTTTTATACCGATTTAATAACGTATGCTGATCAATAGAAGTATTTATGCCACCACTAGTTGATGATCCAAGTACTTCTTTTTCTAGACGATTTCGTTCTTCTTTCAACTCTAAAATAAATAATTAAAAATCAATTCAGTTTCATTCTCAAAAATAAAAGACTATCGAATAACTGCACCTCCAAGCGTTGGTTCTCGAAATAAACCACGTGTTTTTGCACGAAAATCTGCTTCTTCATCTAGTCGTTCCTTAAATAGAGAAAACAAATAGTACTTATTTGAGAGCACGATAGATAACAATGTGTTTTCCTCTACTGTTTCTACACACACTTTAATGATCATGCATACAAAATTTAAAGCGAAAAATTTTTCGATTTTTCTTGTTGTTTAGCACACTTTACTTTACTCTTCTAGATCTACCGATCTCTATTTGACTAACACCCGATAGTCCGATATATTACATGAAGATATTTGACATGTTCTTCTAATGTTTTAACATCTTCTTGCAATGCTTGTCGAAGTTGATCAACGATATCATCCAAATTGAATGTTTCTAATTTACTACGAATTAATGAAGCATCTATTACACGTTCTTTGGTTGCCACTATGATATCTGATCTTGGAGATACGATGTCGATAATCGGTGTTTCACGGCCACTTTTATCACGTGCACTTATCGGTCTTTCTCTTACTCGGCTATTTGTATCAGTGGTTAGAGAATAATTAATAGCACTCCAGTTATGTGCTGACAAACGTTTATGAAATAATTTATCATCGTTCGCACATTGTTCATGAATATGTTTTACAAAAAATTCAATTTCTTTCTTTAATCGTGAGCGAACAACTGGTGGATCTGGCATCATATTCTGTCCTACACCAGCAGTAGATCCATAGACCGTTTCAGTTCTAAAACATACAAAAATTACAACTGGTTATATAATAATAAGGAAAATAGTAATTCCATTTTACCTGTAGTCTCTCCATATATCAAGTAAACTCTCTATTTCTTGTTCAATTTCTTCACATTGTTCGACTAAGGCGTGTCCGAGTGTGTATTTACAATATTCACGTTCAGAGTCTATTAATGTGTCAGAAATAGTTTTCCATAAGCATTTCGGTTTATCATACGGCAGAAGATCAATAGATGCTGCCTTCATACCATAACCAAGTATGAAGCACGAATGATTTGTTTGCAGATGTTTATAATCTACGACAGAAACGGACTTTAAAAGTAATTTATTCTCTTTGAGCAATCCTACTCTATCAGTGTCAAGAGAGACTAATAAAAAATTCAGTTTACAAAACTTAATATTAGCCTAAAAACTTTGATTGTACCGAATCATGTGAATCTTTTACACCTAACTTTCTTTCATCTGATATTATTTTGGTATGAAAATTTTTTTTTAGAACTCCATTATTATCGATGAAGTGCCTGAGTAACGTAGCAGCGATGAATAATGTATACTTTCCAGAATAGCATGGATTATGAACGTTGAGACGTGTTGTGACTATCAAAAATCCATCTTTAATTTTAAATTCAATTGCAAAACGAACCATTATACTTTTATCCGAATTGACTCCATTTGTAACAGAAGATGTCACCATTGTTCGCTGCATGCATTTTACGTCCTATCGTAGAATCTATCGTAGAATGCTCCATTTTCACTTTCTCTGAACTTTGAGATGGCGTGCATCCTTAGTAAACTAGTTTTTTAGATCAAAGCTATAAATTCGAGTAGAGCAACATGAGTTTTGTGTCAAATAGTTATATTAACTTTTCATAGAAGAAATTAGTCAAAAAGTACGAACGTTCTTGACATTACTCCATTTTCCTAATTTTACTTTAGTGTAAGAAATATTCTAGCCAAAGTATCTATCTGTGCAAAACTATTTACAGAAGGATAATCCGAGAAAAATATGATTAGTTTTGTATTTACTTAAACACTTCCGCGCAACTGCTCTATATTAGTATGATTATATTATATTTAAAAGCTGAAAAGATCCAGTACGTGCATCGTGCAGAACTTCAAACAGTGAGCGTAAATATCTTTCTACATGTTATAAAATCCGTTCGAACCAATGAGTTCAGTTATTATTCTAAATGCGCAGAAGATTCAAGCTCGCGAGTCGAAGTAGACCTTACCACAAGATGTCAAGAGCTCCTGTACTGCTAGCGAGAGAGAGCATACAAGTTGTCTGCTTTTCTTCATAATTCAGTTTCTAACACTTCAAAAAACAATTTAGTTTGATCGAGGACCCCACTCACCTTGGAAAACTCGCTCGTCGTCGGAACGCGTTTCAATTCATATTTCATTTTGAACGCAGTTAAGTATACAAAATTTTTTATATGAAACGACTTCTACAGCTGTTCAAATGTCGACAAGAGGCAGATATCCAGCACTTTTTGTTTTTTGGAATGTTAGAAACTGAATTATGGAGAAAGCAGACAACGTTACATGTTTTTCTTCGCTTCTCACAAGACAAGATGTTGCAAGAAGTGATAACTTATCGTCCACAAAATTTTGCTACAATATATATATAGTATATATATATATGTAGTATATAACGTCGTGCTGAAAGCTACCCTAGTAAATGTAGTTGTGTACTAGTACTTAGGCAAGTGCTTGGATCAGTAATGTCCACAGTCCTTGGGCATTTTGGAAAGTTAAAAAACTACCTCTCAGATGAATTTAAGAAGTATAAATAAGGAAGGACTAGCACAGGTAATACAGATATTTATCAAACTAAAACTTGAAGTATTCGAGCGAATACTTGTCAAGAACTGATTTATAAAAACTTTCCAAGTATTATCTGACCAAGTATTTTTCGAAATTTGCAAGTACCTAAGTACTCACTCTCCAGTGCATTCGCTACGATAAGCGCATCAACGTGCAGGCTGAAGTAACTAAGAGAAAATAAAAATGTGTTTCGAGATAACGAGACGTGTTTATATGCTCTAAGAAAAGACGTTTTCAAAAAACTAAATAAAACGAATTTTATGTTTTAAAGAAAAAGATCGAAGACCTTTTCCGTTTTGGAAAGCCAAAGGCAAACGAGAACAATTACCCATCGATGATTTATCAAAGAAAAGAATCTCTTTCGCCTGTCTCTTCACAGTATGAACAAAAAGAGAATCTTAACCGTGTTTTACAGGTTTCGCTCTTTATTGGCTAAAGTATCCGTTTCAATGAAAAAAAGATCTTGTTTTTGCCAAAATCCTAGAGCGATATCCTTATTTCATTTCTGACTACTTTTTCTGTAAAGTTTGTAAGAAAAAATCAGGATCTAGGAATACGCATATACTGAAATATAGAAAAGATTACGCATCTTTTTGCATAGCTTTATCAAATCATGAAAAAAACTTGATAAAAGTTATGGGTTTACATTTTATTGTATAGCATGCACAAAAGCATTTACACTCCCTTTTTGAAGTTCTGCATGATGCACATACTGGGATCTTTTCGGCTTTTAAATATAACATAATAATACTAATAATCTACAGCAGTTGCGTAAAATACTTTAAACTTATTTAATCCAGAGTGTTGTAAATAGATTTGGATAAGAAAATATCGAGCGGATTGGTACATTTTTGAGTCGTCGATACATTTCGATGGATTTTAAGAATAATGAGGAGAACATGATGCTGCAGAAACAAAACGACTATTTTCTTCATAGGTATGCGAAATTTATTATATAATTATGAGAAAAATTTAAGATATCTCTAATAATTGCGAATTGACTATATGTGAATACATGTCAGAATGACTTCCATACAAGTTTGATTCCGCTTCTCTACACATTCGCTGTCTCTTCTTATTTGTAATACCGTGACACATTTTTCGATGATAACAATGTCTTAGACCCGGTTCGGCTATTCGATAGACTGTACAACCAGCTTTCGTAAATCTTCCAAATAAATTGACATCTTCTCCGCCCCAATCAACATTATCAGTTTCCCATCCACCAATACTATCAAGATCTTTCCTTTGTGTGGCAACCATTCCAAAACCATAAATAGAAAATGCTCCATGTTTTGACGTAATATTATGTTTACTACACATATTACTAAATGAACATTGACTATTATTACTATTGTGGGAAAAATGTGAATAAACAACTGGAAAATAGACTGTACATTTTGCCAATTCGTTAGGTTTATATTTAATTTGATGTAACATAAAACGTCTAATGCTTATTAATGCATCATATGTAAACATTAAATCAACATCAACAAATAATAATAAATCATTTGGACTAAAATGACTTGCGCCTAATTGTCTACCGTAGCCACGATTAAATCTGACATTGTAAATAATTGGTTTTTGTACAATTGTTGGATATTGATTAGCTAATTCATTAATCAATTTCAACGGTGAATTATTGTCATCCGGCAATATTGATGTTGTTGTTTCAGAAAGATGAAAATAGATGCATGTTAATGTTAATATTTGATGTGATGACGTCGAATTCAATATTTCTTGTTGAAAATTTTTAATAAAACGTCTCAAAGCATCATCTTTATTACTTGATACAACAATTAGATTCAATTTATCATTGTTAATCTGATCAGTTTTCATAATTTCACGATATTCTAATCTGTCATCAAACACTGCTTTGCTTACATAAATACGTTTTCGAACAATTGCTAATCGAGGATGAGTTGAATATTGAAAAGTGGTATTTAATATTATTTCAATAATTAGTTCAACATTGTTTGTCGGTAATGATCGATAATAGCCAAATATATATTTGCCATTTATTAATGTCCAATTTGTTTTTCGATTCCAACGATATTTTAAATCATTCACATATTTTTCAACAATTGATTCAACGTAACTTTTCCATCTGACATCAAAATTTTGTAGTTGAATATCTTTTGATAAATCAAAATTTACTCGCTGGATAAATGTAGTGAACGGTCGATAGAAAGATTTTGATTTAAATGATTTAATAGTATTTTTCTTTTGTTTTATTAAACTATTCAAACGTTTTTTATTTTGTTCTCGTTTACAACGTTGTTTATAAACTTCAATATGGTAAAATGTACTAACGTTTTTAATTGGATGAATGATAAAAGATTTTTGAACTTTGTCGGGTGTAAAATCATGACCAAACGAATAATTAGGCCCATAATGATGATAAAAATATGTGTTTGAATCAAAAGCGTTTGTACAACGAATATGAACATGTTCAATAATACATCGTCCTATTTCAACGTCTTCATGATTTGTGAGAACTGTCCTTAAACAACTGTCTAATTTTGGACCGAGTTTATTCAATGTCATTTGTGATAAGATTACTCCTGAGCCTCCCATACAGAAATATTGTCCATTTTTAAAATGTATATTTTCATTCTGACGTCCTGTTCCTCCTTGTCCAATATACAGTAATTTTCGTTTATCTAATGATTTTAACCATTTAATTAATTTCGGTAAATTGACATAGGCATTATCGTCTAATCTTAGTATCCACGATGTTCGATGACCATAAAAAAGGTATAAATATTTAATTAAATAAAATCCTTTCAGTTGTGGTGGATATTGATTAATGACATGACGAAGTCGAACAACGTACACACATGAATTATGTTCATTTACAGTCAAAAATAGTTTAGTATAATAATCATTTATATCGTATAAGACAGGCAATTGTGGATTTTCTTCAATAAAAAATATAATTTCGACTGATGAATCGTTGATTTTTGCCCATGTTTTTAGAATAGCAGATAAATGAGTATATAGACGTTCATATGAGCTAATAACACCAATAGTCAAAAATTTAGTTGACGTTGATGATGAACATGATTTTGATTTATATAAAAATTGATCATAGAAATCTGCCTTTTGCTGAGAGTTTTTACATATTATTTGACCAATCGTTTGCCAATAATAAATACCCAAAAAGTAGCCTAATATTAATGAAAATAAGAAAATTGTTACATTTAAACCAATTCGCATTAGCAAACCATTTCATATTTAATAACTCATTATTATGAAAGAGTCATTATAATTATTTTAACTTTTGAATATTGGTGTAATAGTGGTAACGATAATAAACAACAGTAATTCATTTAGTTCGCTGTTATCATCGCACTAAAACAAAAAATAACTGTCCTTAAAGCGGTTCACAAATATTAATGAAACACCAAGAGTAGTGAATCTGATACAAGGAAACGACTTAAATTATTTTTTAAGACGAATAGAAAAAAATGTAATAAAGTACTCGTCGAAGTACCATGAAAATAGTTTCTAACTAAGAATTTGACTCAAATTCAAGATTTATCCGAACAAATCTAGAATTTGACTAAATTCTAGTTTTGACTTTACCAAATGCAGCTCACAATATACGATGAAAGGCCATTTTCAACTATCGTGAAGTACTCATTAACCATAACTAACTACGAAGAACGTCGCAAAATTCACAATTAGGGCTTGATGAAGTAATGACAAGTGTGGAATTTTGTTGATTTATAGAAAGTAACTAAAGATTTTGTAACCTAGTAAGATCTGGGTTTTTAGGTAGGGTAATGTCACTAAAAACGTCTGTCGTTGAAACATGAATTTTTTTCTGACGAATGAATGAGTTCTAAATCTTTTTCTTATGAATAACTTGAAGTAGAAGAGTAAGTTCTGAATATATGTTTCTCAAAATATGTAAATGGATTAACGGTTTACTGCAATTTTCTATCCAAATAAATCAAAATAATGTTGCTACAAACACTTTTATCTTTTTCTGTCTGTGAGATTGAATCTGCGTATCTCAGCTAAAGCTAAATATAATCTTTATCGAAAATAGCGAAAAAGTAGTCCACAGTTTGAGAGTTATTTTGATAAAAAGAATTAAAAGACCAATACTCTTCTTACTGTAAAAAGTGACAACTGCTTTTCCAAAAACGAGCTTCGCACACTAAATGTCCCGTAGGATTTTCGACTTTGTTTTTCCAAAATCTCTGTTAATGCTCTAGTTTTCTCGACGATTTTCTCATCGTTTTTTCTCCAATAGTGTAGAGTATATGCCCAAATTTGAGGCTTAAAATATTTTGTCGTTCCTTAGAAAAACTACTTTTACTAGTGAAATGTCCCGTGATATTAAAATGACAATATCTTTATGAATAAAAAAGAGGATTTTAACATATCATACACCATTCAATTTTCCGAAAGTTGAAATATTTTCTGGGATACACGCGAAAATTTTGCCATAGGTTTAACAATTCCATGAACTCGGGCTCTCTTGTTACTCGTGCTATTTTATCCGCTCATTCTGATTCTGTATGTAAAATCAGTAAAAAATATTCATTTATTGAGCTTTACAGTATGCTCCAGATAAACTAGAGTATTTTCTGACATTCTTAAGTAGAGTGGCTGGGTTTTGACTGAGTTATGAATTTTTTAATTTTTGATGAAAATAATCAAAAATGGGTTATTTCACCTAGTATAGGTTTTCACTCGGTTCTTGTATATTATCCTGAAAGCTAACATTGCCACGAGATTCAGCATAACCTGTGTTTTCATTCATTTCTGACAGTCACAAACCTAACGGCAGAGGAGTGCTAAGACTTCGGGAAGGACATCCAAGATGTTACTTAGGCCCAGTTCTGCAGAGGACACTTCGCACTATATATCTATGAAAAAACTCCATAGGTTTAGATGTCAGATTTGAGAGAACCGAACTGATTTTCCAAAGATTCTCTGGAAAACCGGCTTCGAAAATTTTTTCAAAATTTGTTTTTGCTTATGAAAAGGTAGCTTCAAGTCTTGACCATCGAATGGTGAAAATCTCAAGTCTTTATCTTTTATTCCCTTCGAGTTATTCAAACAATAATGACCGGCCTTCCTTTTTGAAACGGATCGTAGCTATGTTAAAGAAAAAGCTGAATTTTAAGAGAACAAAGAGACTAACCGTTGGGAAACTTTTTTCCCTTAATCACCAATGCTAGCATTATATAACCTAATAACGAGAAAAAGATCTCATTCAACTTTATTTTTTTTGAAATTTTCACTCATACCGTACAATACCAGCGCTAATCGCACATATACATTGCAATATCTATCAAAGTTTGAAACGGTTTTTTTTGTTAAAAATTATAGGTCTGTATTATTAACGGGCAGGTGTTTTCATGTAACAAAGAAGAAAAGAATATTTACAAAAACATCAACAAATATGTTTAGATGTATACAAACTTTTCGCGAGTGATTGTTTTTTTCTTCTTCTAAAAGGGTGAGTAAAATGATATAGAAACATTGTGTAAAGAACAGGCCATTAGTTAAACAGAGGCTAAAACCCTATCAGTCTGACAGAAATAAAAGTGATCTCAAGCAGTAAGAGCTCGAACATATGAAAAGATTTTCTTTCCAATTAACATAAAACTTTAATGTAATAGAATTAAATCGATAGATCATACATATAGAAGTAAAATTTCTTAAATTGATAGTATATTTAAAAGAAAAATACTCAGAAAAAGTTCCTGCATTAAATAAAATAAAATAATAATAATAAAAAGTATAATTGCTAAATTATTATAGAAGATAGCAGTTGACACGAATAAGTTTTATAAATGTTTGAAAAGTCAAGAATATTCTTGCTAAACAGTGTCCAATTATTAACACACATTACATAGAACTAAAAAAATTTTTTTTTAATTTACCTTAGTCGACTTTCATAGTAAACAAAAACAACTATGATAGTGCTGAGAAAAAAAAATCGAATCATATATTTCGAATACAGACTCTGTAAAGATAGACTTATTTTAGCAAAATTTGATTGTGTAAAAAAGTAGGCAAGAAAGAAATGTGCGGATCCTGTATTGAGTTAAACAATAAATTAAACGGTATCAAAACAAGAACGTCCAAAAAAAAAAGAAACAGTTTCAACGAATTCATTTTATTAAACATTTGTAATTTATCCTTGTAAAAACATCGTAGATATTGTGTTGCTGTCAATCATGCACTTTTATTAAAAAACGAATCATGCATCGATTTTATTCATCTCAATTTTAAGCGAGATCCTCAAGAAACCTGTGAGACAATTTATAATTAACATTATCACTATCACTATCAGCTCAAGAAATATGTTGAGTAGTTGCTCCATGAATACTAGTTGTACGTATATCCTTGGAAGAGTAAAAATAAAAAGTTTTTATTTAAAAAAAGAAGTCTAAAAGTCGTGCACCTATTGCACCTATAATATTCAGAATACAAAAAGAAAACTGAAAGAAAAATAATTCTAAGTTATATTGTTATTTTGCTAAATTGTATGTATCTAACAATCTTTTAATTCATTAAAGTACAGTTTTAGCCTAATAATTAAATTTCTAATGTATTCATCTTGACATGGAAATAACAGATCGTTTATGTTCTGATATGCTCATATTTTCTGAGTCGTCTGTTCGATACAGTTGAAATATGACCATTCCACGCATATGTTTTGTGTCATGGTTAATATTTCTAGCCCATGCTTGACATCGAACAGTTATTAAACGATTCTTCGGTAAAGAATTAAATTTAACTAACACAAACGGTTGTACGTGATCTGGTGCATTTCTAAATAAAAATTCATTAATGATAAAATTTTATCAAAACAAACTGACACTTATACATTATTTTTTTGGCGTTACATCGATAATCTTAGTTAGTGTAAATAAAAAAACGTTATAAATTGACTGTATCCTACTGTAGAATAACATTGAAACTCACTTGAACGGAAAGTAATAATAAGGAATGCCACCATATTCCGAATTACCATTCAAGGTTAGAAGAGAGTAATAAGTTAAATTCGATAAAACATCATCATCTGCGACAGCCTAAAAATAACACATTCTTGTTCTTATAAAGATAAAAAAGTTTTATGACTTACAGCTCCACTACATGTAACATAAACATTTGCATTTTTATTCGTGATATCTGCCTTTATGTGTTGTACGGAAGCGGGTGGTCTAGACCGAGAAGAACCCGGGAATAATGGACCGGGCTCTGGTGTCCAACCATAAATCTAAGTGAAAAGTTATGAAACAAATTTTTCGTGTCCTCTTAATGGTTTAATCGAATTTGAATTAGAGCTTGGCGAATAAGTCACAAGAAAACTTACTTTGTTCAATTTTATCAGAACACACGGTTTTTCTTCAGCAAAACCATATTTATTTTCGTCGGAACATGGATGATGTTGCGTTGGAACAATCTTAAACCAATGAAACGAGCACGCGAGCCCTTCGGGTAATCTGGCTGCGGGATTCTGGGGTGTGCATTCTTCAACATTATCCGTCCTTCTTTGCAATAAGAAAACTAAACGATCAAAATTAACCTTTATATCGATCATCCTACAAAGAATTCTGCCGATTTAAAAGAATGCCACTTATTTACCATGAAATCAGTAGATAATGATAGAATTTTAGAAGGTGCACATTTCTCTATATTTTTGAAGCCTCACATCTCTATGGTTCCTGAGAAAACTAAAAAGTTTGACTGATCTATGCGATACCTACCTATACAATAAAAAAGTTTTTTTCGATAATCTTCCACTATTTCGAAAAATGCTTTTTGCCTCTAGATAGGCAAGATTATTATGCATCTACATCTATCATCGTTATCATATTGTGGAACGAAGGGGAGTAGAAAGAATAGCCGAAAGATAAAAGTTTTTGTAGGATTTTTCAAACACCGCATGGTCAGTAAAAATGCTATAGCTCCATTAACAATGCTTGCCGCAAGAGCGCACTTGCAGAAAAACATCCTTAAATTCTGCGCTACAAATCCTGACATTTAAAAAAAATAAATAAATTGTCGTATGAGAACCATAATTTTACATTTCGAATCGTGTGTTACTCGAATGTTTCTAAGAAAAATACGTTTCTGATTAATCTTTAGCTAAAAACGACTTTTGTAAAAGAAATTTTTTTTCTTAGAAGTATTTGAGTAACACATGATTCGATCCAATTTTGTTTGCTGATTTCAAATATGTCGTCATTTTCCATTGAAGATGTATAGGAAGTGGCAAAAATGCAAAGTAAGCGAACTACCTCAGTGCTGAAAACTCATTTTTTCTCAATGTTTACGTCCCGCATTCGCAATTCATCTCAAGTTTTTTATACCGTATAAGATAGAGAATTCGAAAAATCATAAAAAACTGTTATCTTTGGGCTATTTTTTCTACTCCCCTTCGTTCCACAATATGATAACGATGATAGATGTAGATGTATAATAATCTCGCCTATCTAGAGGCAAAAAGCATTTTTCGAAATAGTGGAAAGTTATCGAAAAAAACTTTTTTATTGTATAGGTAGGTATCGCATAGATCAGTCAAACTTTTTAGTTTTCTCAGGAACCATAGAGATGTGAGGCTTCAAAAATATAGAGAAATGTGCACCTTCTAAAATTCTATCATTATCTACTGATTTCATGGTAAATAAGTGGCATTTTTTTAAACCAGCAGAATACTCTAACTTGTTATTACCGTCTCTGAAAAGCCGTAATGATGAAGCTATTTTAGTTTGCTGATGTTCATCGTTTGTGATTAGAATAAGATTACTGTATATACCTGAAATGAGAAAAGAAATGTAACAACATCATTCCATGTCATCGTGACTGCATTATCTCTAATAATGTATAGCACTTACTTGGTTGTGGTCGAAAACCCATTCCTAGGGAAGATAAAATAAGAATCTCAGTTGATACCATCAAACTCCTTAAACCTACAACGTGTAGTCTTACCGATGTTTACATGACCACGAACACCCATTGTACTTCTCCTGTTGTAATATCGTGGTTCATTACGCGGAAGCATTAGGGCGAATACGGCGACCACAGCAGAGAAGAACAATGCCAAAAATAGGTAAAAAGCAAAATAAAATATTGCAACTTTCGCCCAGTTATCGGAGGAACGACCCATAAAGGTTTTTCTTTGTGGATCATATATGAATCGTCCAAGTGAACTCATTGTCGACTTTCCTTTCTTGTTCGTTTCCTTTTTATTCACCATTGCGTCAGTTTCTTCGTCGCCATCAGCATTCGCACGACTCGCGACTGTACCAACATGTACGTCTTCTCTATTATCTTTACCTTTTTGTTCCATCTATCCTCTAAAAAAAGGCGCGCTGCAGAATCATTCAAGGACTCGAGAATTGAATTCCATTTCTGAACCATTAAAAACACTGTGCAATATAACTTAGTGTATCATATAACGAGAAATTTTTTTTATTTTTCAGAGGCAGTGGGCCATTTTAGTAGTTCAGATGTGCTAGCAATCTAATAGTGCGACCCGAACAGCTGAGATGTTCTTAAATTTTGATTTCTCGTGTGAAAATCATTTGCTGTTGATTGAGAAAATGCATAGACCCATCCTATTAATGCACTAAAATAGTTTCACACGGAACTTTTTAATGATTCAAAAATTGAGTGCAATTCCCGAACCCTAATAAGATTCTGCCGGACATCTTTTTTTAGGAGAGTGGAGAAAAAAAAACAAATATTGTCATTAATAGCTTATTCAAATACTAGTTATATGAATTCAGATACTTAATTAAGTAGAGAAACAAGTAGAAATACACGGCTAAACTCTCCTGTTCAAAGAAGGAACATTTTGTTCGTTTTAAACTGTTATTTTTAACCTCGAATACTAACTTTGTTCTTTCCATATGTGTTTAGTATTTTTTGTATTCCTGCGCGTTACAAATACAGGGCTGAAACTGATTCATACTCTTTAAACGTGTTCTTAAAAGTTTGCATTACTGTCTTTTAGTTGGCTTCTTGTTAGATTTCTGTTAACTCAACATTTTAAAACTATATTCCATCCGTTAAAGACCATCTGCTTACACATAAAAATAGATGGAACCACGCCATACAGAGGACTATGAGAACAATAGGAATCAAAATTTTTGAACAACAGAGGCGCATATCGGATTCGCCATGTTCAATATTCTCTATTTTTTATAAAAATTATCTGAAATTATCAGTTTCAGTCTCTATGGTCCTCTTTGACTCAATAAATCCTTTGTTCAAATTATCCTTCATAAACTGGTAAAAACACTTCAAATTTTCAGGCTACGAAAAAAGCAAAACTCGCCACGAGACTTAAAGGCTCCTTAAATGTGAAGAAACATTTCTCTCTTCCCCTTTTTTGCTTGCTTGCTCATTCTTTCCATTTTCCACATACCCCAATAATTACTACTATGTGATGAAGTGAAGTTTTGCTCAATATTTTATTGTTTGGATAACGCAGAAATAGTTATTAATGGTACAAAAAGTTCCGAAAACGAATCAGTAAGAAGGAAAAACAATCATGGCGTGAACAGTGAAGCGTATCATTAACCTAAAAAACTTGTGTAATATTTTCTTTTTTTCTTAATCGTTCTGATCGTACACATCGTACAGATTTATATACCATTACTCAACGAGAATGACTACCATACTCCATGTGCATATTTTCTGTTGTTTTTCTCACGAGTATATTAAATTTACATACTAAAACTATCACTATCTGAACGCTTTCAAAGCTTTGTTTGTATTTTAGAGACAAATACTTCGATTTATGAAATAACGTACATAAATACCGAATGTGAATTAACAAACGTGAAAACTAAAATAGTTCAGTATATAGTTCAGGAAATAGTTCGTATCACTTGGAATTAAAATTGAGTTGTTAAATATGGCATCGATCAATATCCCATTCCTAATATATGAAACTAATTAAATATTTTTTGATCATGTACCTACTTGATTTAATAGAACATCGGTGCAATTAAAACTTACATTACTTTATACTGTGTGAAACCAATTAGTAGTTCATCATTCTCATAGCTAAAAACTGAACTCCAAATAAAAATGTGTAAAGAGCATTAGAGAATTAGAGATGCATCTTTAAAATCAATATGTTTTTCGGTATCGTAATTTGTTTGGACAGAAATTTATTTATATTTAAAAATTGAGATATTGTTTGAAATATTGATGCTCGATGAATTCGAGTGAAGGATTGACAGCAAAAAAGATCAAAATACATCAGAAGCAATACATAAGCGATGACATTTACTGAAACTACACAAAAAGTTAGCACACAACGCGAAATTGACTTTGTTAGAGTGAATCAAGTGCAAAACCAGTTTTCTTCCATTCAATGGAAAAAATATAGATAATTTCGCTTATAACAAAACGAAAAATATTTCTTCGAAAAAATTGGAGACAATCGTATGACCCATGAAGCGTGAAAAATGGCGAGTAGCCTGGGTTCGTTATTGTCTTCCTTGGGTTTGTTTTATACTGAGCTAGATACCTAAACTCACAAACTGACATAGACGATTGACGAATCTCTTCTCGGTTCCATTTTCGTATGTAATTAAAATTGAACAGATTAAAAAGTCATCATTCGAGTGATAAAATTAATTTTTTGTAGAATGCAAGCAAATTTTCAAAACTGCTCATAAATTTTTTACGACTCTCGCACAGAAAATAGCGCTGATTATTAACAAATGTGGAAAAATGACAAGTTTAAGACGGTATGATCTTACTAAGATGTGTCCATTATTGTCAGTAATAGTTTTATCAAAGAGAAAGATAATCATAATAGGACAGAAAATTCTGCAAGAAAACTAACCAAACATCTGACAGATATAAGTATGATCAATCACATAGATATTTAGAGAACAACTTACATCATGTTGATAACCAACGTTTGAATCACAATTACGTGTGGATACCAAGTGATTGAGATACAAAAGTAGAAGTTTTGTTTTTCAACATTTTTGCTTAATTAGACAAAGAAACGGGATTGGAAAGAAATTTCCTGTTTCATCTATTTTCATGTTATTAATTAGGCTAGCTGATTTAATATAAATTTTAAATAAGAGCCCATTACAATTTATTTACTCTTCTTCAACCGATTTACCAAATATAGGCAGCGGTCTTTCTAGTTTAATCATAAGTTTGCTAAGATCACGTTTGAGTTTAACCTCATGACCATCCAAACAAATGGACCAGAGCAAGGACGGTATAGTTGCTTCATCAATATCTAAAATATTTTCGGTTTGCGCTAAACAAAGTCTACTAACTTCCAATAGTAAACGTTTAATGTTTAAACCTTTTAAGTCCCATTCGTCAAAAATTGCTATAAATATTTCTAAATCATCACAAACAACGTTACAAAATGAGGGTATCGATATGGTGATATCCGGTTGAAATAAGCAATCAGGATAAAAATTGTAGACAATTTTGTCCAATGTTGAACAAGTGAACGAAATTGTATTATTATGTAAAGCGTGATTAAGTTTATGCATAATACAATGTTGTGCTGCGTGAACCCATTTTTTTCCAAATTTTGATAAGAAATTGTACGTACGTTTAAGAGTTGCTTCACACAACCAGTATGAAAATTCAACAAGAATATTTTCTTTACCACACTGATATTTCGAATCGATACAAGCAAAATAATAACAGTCAGTCTCATTTAAAAATCTTGCACAATATTTTAATGGCATATTTTTCATTTGAAAATGTACTAACGAAGATGAATATTCCGTTGATATGCATGAACAATGATGGTAAGAAAACAGAAAATTAATGAATAATATCCATATTAAGTGCCAGACTTCTATTATCATTATAATTCTAAAGACATAAAAGCACAGTACTATGTGTACAGTTCTCTATTGGAAGGAAGTTCTTTTTGCTGCATTCTCAAACATCGTTTGTGTCGTAAGTATAAGCTATAGCTCATCAATGTAAACAGAATGGATGAAGGAAATCAGTGAGCTATAACCACATGATGTAATAGCTTTATATTGTTGTAAAATTGGTGATATTCGTTAAAGACATGGTTTTTCATAGCTTCTTCTTTTGTGTAACCTTTCAGTCGTCAAACTCTTTTTTTAAAACAATAATTATCCTAGTGAATGTACTTGGGAGTGGATACTTATTTACTTGCAAATTTCCACGGGTACTTGAAAAGTACTTGACAGGTATTTTCAAAAAATCGTGCTCGATAAATGTCTGACAGCACTTGCCAAGTACCTGATTTGTTTTTGGTAAGTTTTTAAAATAATTACAGTTCATATAACCCATTTTGAAAAGGAAATATAAAATTAAAAACATCAGACACAGTTTTTACTTTTATTCCTCTACAAAACAATTCTTGCTTTTCCTTTTTTAATTGGTATGGTATGGGATATACGTATATATCCGCCTGGAAATGAATGTTTTCAGTCGATTTTTCAATTTATTATACATCATTCGATAGACTCTTTCGATCTGATTAAGAAAAGATATCTTACAACATTTCAAAAGTTGATTTTCATGTCTAAAAATTGGAAAAACTCGAAAATCACGGAAAAACTTCGAATTTTCGCGCTGCGTAGTAGTATATAACTTTCAAACTAATTTTTTCCTATTCTGCGTCAAAAACTGAATAAAAAAACGTGGTTTGATAAAGTTCAAAGTTATAACTTTGAACTTTATCAAACCACGTTTTTTTATTCAGTTTTTGACGCAGAATAGGAAAAAATTAGTTTGAAAGTTATATACTACTACGCAGCGCGAAAATTCGAAGTTTTTCCGTGATTTTCGAGTTTTTCCAATTTTTAGACATGAAAATCAACTTTTGAAATGTTGTAAGATATCTTTTCTTAATCAGATCGAAAGAGTCTATCGAATGATGTATAATAAATTGAAAAATCGACTGAAAACATTCATTTCCAGGCGGATATATACGTATATCCCATACCATACCAATTAAAAAAGGAAAAGCAAGAATTGTTTTGTAGAGGAATAAAAGTAAAAACTGTGTCTGATGTTTTTAATTTTATATTTCCTTTTCAAAATGGGTTATATGAACTGTAATTATTTTAAAAACTTACCAAAAACAAATCAGGTACTTGGCAAGTGCTGTCAGACATTTATCGAGCACGATTTTTTGAAAATACCTGTCAAGTACTTTTCAAGTACCCGTGGAAATTTGCAAGTAAATAAGTATCCACTCCCAAGTACATTCACTAGGATAATTATTGTTTTAAAAAAAGAGTTTGACGACTGAAAGGTTACACAAAAGAAGAAGCTATGAAAAACCATGTCTTTAACGAATATCACCAATTTTACAACAATATAAAGCTATTACATCATGTGGTTATAGCTCACTGATTTCCTTCATCCATTCTGTTTACATTGATGAGCTATAGCTTATACTTACGACACAAACGATGTTTGAGAATGCAGCAAAAAGAACTTCCTTCCAATAGAGAACTGTACACATAGTACTGTGCTTTTATGTCTTTAGAATTATAATGATAATAGAAGTCTGGCACTTAATATGGATATTATTCATTAATTTTCTGTTTTCTTACCATCATTGTTCATGCATATCAACGGAATATTCATCTTCGTTAGTACATTTTCAAATGAAAAATATGCCATTAAAATATTGTGCAAGATTTTTAAATGAGACTGACTGTTATTATTTTGCTTGTATCGATTCGAAATATCAGTGTGGTAAAGAAAATATTCTTGTTGAATTTTCATACTGGTTGTGTGAAGCAACTCTTAAACGTACGTACAATTTCTTATCAAAATTTGGAAAAAAATGGGTTCACGCAGCACAACATTGTATTATGCATAAACTTAATCACGCTTTACATAATAATACAATTTCGTTCACTTGTTCAACATTGGACAAAATTGTCTACAATTTTTATCCTGATTGCTTATTTCAACCGGATATCACCATATCGATACCCTCATTTTGTAACGTTGTTTGTGATGATTTAGAAATATTTATAGCAATTTTTGACGAATGGGACTTAAAAGGTTTAAACATTAAACGTTTACTATTGGAAGTTAGTAGACTTTGTTTAGCGCAAACCGAAAATATTTTAGATATTGATGAAGCAACTATACCGTCCTTGCTCTGGTCCATTTGTTTGGATGGTCATGAGGTTAAACTCAAACGTGATCTTAGCAAACTTATGATTAAACTAGAAAGACCGCTGCCTATATTTGGTAAATCGGTTGAAGAAGAGTAAATAAATTGTAATGGGCTCTTATTTAAAATTTATATTAAATCAGCTAGCCTAATTAATAACATGAAAATAGATGAAACAGGAAATTTCTTTCCAATCCCGTTTCTTTGTCTAATTAAGCAAAAATGTTGAAAAACAAAACTTCTACTTTTGTATCTCAATCACTTGGTATCCACACGTAATTGTGATTCAAACGTTGGTTATCAACATGATGTAAGTTGTTCTCTAAATATCTATGTGATTGATCATACTTATATCTGTCAGATGTTTGGTTAGTTTTCTTGCAGAATTTTCTGTCCTATTATGATTATCTTTCTCTTTGATAAAACTATTACTGACAATAATGGACACATCTTAGTAAGATCATACCGTCTTAAACTTGTCATTTTTCCACATTTGTTAATAATCAGCGCTATTTTCTGTGCGAGAGTCGTAAAAAATTTATGAGCAGTTTTGAAAATTTGCTTGCATTCTACAAAAAATTAATTTTATCACTCGAATGATGACTTTTTAATCTGTTCAATTTTAATTACATACGAAAATGGAACCGAGAAGAGATTCGTCAATCGTCTATGTCAGTTTGTGAGTTTAGGTATCTAGCTCAGTATAAAACAAACCCAAGGAAGACAATAACGAACCCAGGCTACTCGCCATTTTTCACGCTTCATGGGTCATACGATTGTCTCCAATTTTTTCGAAGAAATATTTTTCGTTTTGTTATAAGCGAAATTATCTATATTTTTTCCATTGAATGGAAGAAAACTGGTTTTGCACTTGATTCACTCTAACAAAGTCAATTTCGCGTTGTGTGCTAACTTTTTGTGTAGTTTCAGTAAATGTCATCGCTTATGTATTGCTTCTGATGTATTTTGATCTTTTTTGCTGTCAATCCTTCACTCGAATTCATCGAGCATCAATATTTCAAACAATATCTCAATTTTTAAATATAAATAAATTTCTGTCCAAACAAATTACGATACCGAAAAACATATTGATTTTAAAGATGCATCTCTAATTCTCTAATGCTCTTTACACATTTTTATTTGGAGTTCAGTTTTTAGCTATGAGAATGATGAACTACTAATTGGTTTCACACAGTATAAAGTAATGTAAGTTTTAATTGCACCGATGTTCTATTAAATCAAGTAGGTACATGATCAAAAAATATTTAATTAGTTTCATATATTAGGAATGGGATATTGATCGATGCCATATTTAACAACTCAATTTTAATTCCAAGTGATACGAACTATTTCCTGAACTATATACTGAACTATTTTAGTTTTCACGTTTGTTAATTCACATTCGGTATTTATGTACGTTATTTCATAAATCGAAGTATTTGTCTCTAAAATACAAACAAAGCTTTGAAAGCGTTCAGATAGTGATAGTTTTAGTATGTAAATTTAATATACTCGTGAGAAAAACAACAGAAAATATGCACATGGAGTATGGTAGTCATTCTCGTTGAGTAATGGTATATAAATCTGTACGATGTGTACGATCAGAACGATTAAGAAAAAAAGAAAATATTACACAAGTTTTTTAGGTTAATGATACGCTTCACTGTTCACGCCATGATTGTTTTTCCTTCTTACTGATTCGTTTTCGGAACTTTTTGTACCATTAATAACTATTTCTGCGTTATCCAAACAATAAAATATTGAGCAAAACTTCACTTCATCACATAGTAGTAATTATTGGGGTATGTGGAAAATGGAAAGAATGAGCAAGCAAGCAAAAAAGGGGAAGAGAGAAATGTTTCTTCACATTTAAGGAGCCTTTAAGTCTCGTGGCGAGTTTTGCTTTTTTCGTAGCCTGAAAATTTGAAGTGTTTTTACCAGTTTATGAAGGATAATTTGAACAAAGGATTTATTGAGTCAAAGAGGACCATAGAGACTGAAACTGATAATTTCAGATAATTTTTATAAAAAATAGAGAATATTGAACATGGCGAATCCGATATGCGCCTCTGTTGTTCAAAAATTTTGATTCCTATTGTTCTCATAGTCCTCTGTATGGCGTGGTTCCATCTATTTTTATGTGTAAGCAGATGGTCTTTAACGGATGGAATATAGTTTTAAAATGTTGAGTTAACAGAAATCTAACAAGAAGCCAACTAAAAGACAGTAATGCAAACTTTTAAGAACACGTTTAAAGAGTATGAATCAGTTTCAGCCCTGTATTTGTAACGCGCAGGAATACAAAAAATACTAAACACATATGGAAAGAACAAAGTTAGTATTCGAGGTTAAAAATAACAGTTTAAAACGAACAAAATGTTCCTTCTTTGAACAGGAGAGTTTAGCCGTGTATTTCTACTTGTTTCTCTACTTAATTAAGTATCTGAATTCATATAACTAGTATTTGAATAAGCTATTAATGACAATATTTGTTTTTTTTTCTCCACTCTCCTAAAAAAAGATGTCCGGCAGAATCTTATTAGGGTTCGGGAATTGCACTCAATTTTTGAATCATTAAAAAGTTCCGTGTGAAACTATTTTAGTGCATTAATAGGATGGGTCTATGCATTTTCTCAATCAACAGCAAATGATTTTCACACGAGAAATCAAAATTTAAGAACATCTCAGCTGTTCGGGTCGCACTATTAGATTGCTAGCACATCTGAACTACTAAAATGGCCCACTGCCTCTGAAAAATAAAAAAAATTTCTCGTTATATGATACACTAAGTTATATTGCACAGTGTTTTTAATGGTTCAGAAATGGAATTCAATTCTCGAGTCCTTGAATGATTCTGCAGCGCGCCTTTTTTTAGAGGATAGATGGAACAAAAAGGTAAAGATAATAGAGAAGACGTACATGTTGGTACAGTCGCGAGTCGTGCGAATGCTGATGGCGACGAAGAAACTGACGCAATGGTGAATAAAAAGGAAACGAACAAGAAAGGAAAGTCGACAATGAGTTCACTTGGACGATTCATATATGATCCACAAAGAAAAACCTTTATGGGTCGTTCCTCCGATAACTGGGCGAAAGTTGCAATATTTTATTTTGCTTTTTACCTATTTTTGGCATTGTTCTTCTCTGCTGTGGTCGCCGTATTCGCCCTAATGCTTCCGCGTAATGAACCACGATATTACAACAGGAGAAGTACAATGGGTGTTCGTGGTCATGTAAACATCGGTAAGACTACACGTTGTAGGTTTAAGGAGTTTGATGGTATCAACTGAGATTCTTATTTTATCTTCCCTAGGAATGGGTTTTCGACCACAACCAAGTAAGTGCTATACATTATTAGAGATAATGCAGTCACGATGACATGGAATGATGTTGTTACATTTCTTTTCTCATTTCAGGTATATACAGTAATCTTATTCTAATCACAAACGATGAACATCAGCAAACTAAAATAGCTTCATCATTACGGCTTTTCAGAGACGGTAATAACAAGTTAGAGTATTCTGCTGGTTTAAAAAAATGCCACTTATTTACCATGAAATCAGTAGATAATGATAGAATTTTAGAAGGTGCACATTTCTCTATATTTTTGAAGCCTCACATCTCTATGGTTCCTGAGAAAACTAAAAAGTTTGACTGATCTATGCGATACCTACCTATACAATAAAAAAGTTTTTTTCGATAACTTTCCACTATTTCGAAAAATGCTTTTTGCCTCTAGATAGGCGAGATTATTATACATCTACATCTATCATCGTTATCATATTGTGGAACGAAGGGGAGTAGAAAAAATAGCCCAAAGATAACAGTTTTTTATGATTTTTCGAATTCTCTATCTTATACGGTATAAAAAACTTGAGATGAATTGCGAATGCGGGACGTAAACATTGAGAAAAAATGAGTTTTCAGCACTGAGGTAGTTCGCTTACTTTGCATTTTTGCCACTTCCTATACATCTTCAATGGAAAATGACGACATATTTGAAATCAGCAAACAAAATTGGATCGAATCATGTGTTACTCAAATACTTCTAAGAAAAAAAATTTCTTTTACAAAAGTCGTTTTTAGCTAAAGATTAATCAGAAACGTATTTTTCTTAGAAACATTCGAGTAACACACGATTCGAAATGTAAAATTATGGTTCTCATACGACAATTTATTTATTTTTTTTAAATGTCAGGATTTGTAGCGCAGAATTTAAGGATGTTTTTCTGCAAGTGCGCTCTTGCGGCAAGCATTGTTAATGGAGCTATAGCATTTTTACTGACCATGCGGTGTTTGAAAAATCCTACAAAAACTTTTATCTTTCGGCTATTCTTTCTACTCCCCTTCGTTCCACAATATGATAACGATGATAGATGTAGATGCATAATAATCTTGCCTATCTAGAGGCAAAAAGCATTTTTCGAAATAGTGGAAGATTATCGAAAAAAACTTTTTTATTGTATAGGTAGGTATCGCATAGATCAGTCAAACTTTTTAGTTTTCTCAGGAACCATAGAGATGTGAGGCTTCAAAAATATAGAGAAATGTGCACCTTCTAAAATTCTATCATTATCTACTGATTTCATGGTAAATAAGTGGCATTCTTTTAAATCGGCAGAATTCTTTGTAGGATGATCGATATAAAGGTTAATTTTGATCGTTTAGTTTTCTTATTGCAAAGAAGGACGGATAATGTTGAAGAATGCACACCCCAGAATCCCGCAGCCAGATTACCCGAAGGGCTCGCGTGCTCGTTTCATTGGTTTAAGATTGTTCCAACGCAACATCATCCATGTTCCGACGAAAATAAATATGGTTTTGCTGAAGAAAAACCGTGTGTTCTGATAAAATTGAACAAAGTAAGTTTTCTTGTGACTTATTCGCCAAGCTCTAATTCAAATTCGATTAAACCATTAAGAGGACACGAAAAATTTGTTTCATAACTTTTCACTTAGATTTATGGTTGGACACCAGAGCCCGGTCCATTATTCCCGGGTTCTTCTCGGTCTAGACCACCCGCTTCCGTACAACACATAAAGGCAGATATCACGAATAAAAATGCAAATGTTTATGTTACATGTAGTGGAGCTGTAAGTCATAAAACTTTTTTATCTTTATAAGAACAAGAATGTGTTATTTTTAGGCTGTCGCAGATGATGATGTTTTATCGAATTTAACTTATTACTCTCTTCTAACCTTGAATGGTAATTCGGAATATGGTGGCATTCCTTATTATTACTTTCCGTTCAAGTGAGTTTCAATGTTATTCTACAGTAGGATACAGTCAATTTATAACGTTTTTTTATTTACACTAACTAAGATTATCGATGTAACGCCAAAAAAATAATGTATAAGTGTCAGTTTGTTTTGATAAAATTTTATCATTAATGAATTTTTATTTAGAAATGCACCAGATCACGTACAACCGTTTGTGTTAGTTAAATTTAATTCTTTACCGAAGAATCGTTTAATAACTGTTCGATGTCAAGCATGGGCTAGAAATATTAACCATGACACAAAACATATGCGTGGAATGGTCATATTTCAACTGTATCGAACAGACGACTCAGAAAATATGAGCATATCAGAACATAAACGATCTGTTATTTCCATGTCAAGATGAATACATTAGAAATTTAATTATTAGGCTAAAACTGTACTTTAATGAATTAAAAGATTGTTAGATACATACAATTTAGCAAAATAACAATATAACTTAGAATTATTTTTCTTTCAGTTTTCTTTTTGTATTCTGAATATTATAGGTGCAATAGGTGCACGACTTTTAGACTTCTTTTTTTAAATAAAAACTTTTTATTTTTACTCTTCCAAGGATATACGTACAACTAGTATTCATGGAGCAACTACTCAACATATTTCTTGAGCTGATAGTGATAGTGATAATGTTAATTATAAATTGTCTCACAGGTTTCTTGAGGATCTCGCTTAAAATTGAGATGAATAAAATCGATGCATGATTCGTTTTTTAATAAAAGTGCATGATTGACAGCAACACAATATCTACGATGTTTTTACAAGGATAAATTACAAATGTTTAATAAAATGAATTCGTTGAAACTGTTTCTTTTTTTTTTGGACGTTCTTGTTTTGATACCGTTTAATTTATTGTTTAACTCAATACAGGATCCGCACATTTCTTTCTTGCCTACTTTTTTACACAATCAAATTTTGCTAAAATAAGTCTATCTTTACAGAGTCTGTATTCGAAATATATGATTCGATTTTTTTTTCTCAGCACTATCATAGTTGTTTTTGTTTACTATGAAAGTCGACTAAGGTAAATTAAAAAAAAATTTTTTTAGTTCTATGTAATGTGTGTTAATAATTGGACACTGTTTAGCAAGAATATTCTTGACTTTTCAAACATTTATAAAACTTATTCGTGTCAACTGCTATCTTCTATAATAATTTAGCAATTATACTTTTTATTATTATTATTTTATTTTATTTAATGCAGGAACTTTTTCTGAGTATTTTTCTTTTAAATATACTATCAATTTAAGAAATTTTACTTCTATATGTATGATCTATCGATTTAATTCTATTACATTAAAGTTTTATGTTAATTGGAAAGAAAATCTTTTCATATGTTCGAGCTCTTACTGCTTGAGATCACTTTTATTTCTGTCAGACTGATAGGGTTTTAGCCTCTGTTTAACTAATGGCCTGTTCTTTACACAATGTTTCTATATCATTTTACTCACCCTTTTAGAAGAAGAAAAAAACAATCACTCGCGAAAAGTTTGTATACATCTAAACATATTTGTTGATGTTTTTGTAAATATTCTTTTCTTCTTTGTTACATGAAAACACCTGCCCGTTAATAATACAGACCTATAATTTTTAACAAAAAAAACCGTTTCAAACTTTGATAGATATTGCAATGTATATGTGCGATTAGCGCTGGTATTGTACGGTATGAGTGAAAATTTCAAAAAAAATAAAGTTGAATGAGATCTTTTTCTCGTTATTAGGTTATATAATGCTAGCATTGGTGATTAAGGGAAAAAAGTTTCCCAACGGTTAGTCTCTTTGTTCTCTTAAAATTCAGCTTTTTCTTTAACATAGCTACGATCCGTTTCAAAAAGGAAGGCCGGTCATTATTGTTTGAATAACTCGAAGGGAATAAAAGATAAAGACTTGAGATTTTCACCATTCGATGGTCAAGACTTGAAGCTACCTTTTCATAAGCAAAAACAAATTTTGAAAAAATTTTCGAAGCCGGTTTTCCAGAGAATCTTTGGAAAATCAGTTCGGTTCTCTCAAATCTGACATCTAAACCTATGGAGTTTTTTCATAGATATATAGTGCGAAGTGTCCTCTGCAGAACTGGGCCTAAGTAACATCTTGGATGTCCTTCCCGAAGTCTTAGCACTCCTCTGCCGTTAGGTTTGTGACTGTCAGAAATGAATGAAAACACAGGTTATGCTGAATCTCGTGGCAATGTTAGCTTTCAGGATAATATACAAGAACCGAGTGAAAACCTATACTAGGTGAAATAACCCATTTTTGATTATTTTCATCAAAAATTAAAAAATTCATAACTCAGTCAAAACCCAGCCACTCTACTTAAGAATGTCAGAAAATACTCTAGTTTATCTGGAGCATACTGTAAAGCTCAATAAATGAATATTTTTTACTGATTTTACATACAGAATCAGAATGAGCGGATAAAATAGCACGAGTAACAAGAGAGCCCGAGTTCATGGAATTGTTAAACCTATGGCAAAATTTTCGCGTGTATCCCAGAAAATATTTCAACTTTCGGAAAATTGAATGGTGTATGATATGTTAAAATCCTCTTTTTTATTCATAAAGATATTGTCATTTTAATATCACGGGACATTTCACTAGTAAAAGTAGTTTTTCTAAGGAACGACAAAATATTTTAAGCCTCAAATTTGGGCATATACTCTACACTATTGGAGAAAAAACGATGAGAAAATCGTCGAGAAAACTAGAGCATTAACAGAGATTTTGGAAAAACAAAGTCGAAAATCCTACGGGACATTTAGTGTGCGAAGCTCGTTTTTGGAAAAGCAGTTGTCACTTTTTACAGTAAGAAGAGTATTGGTCTTTTAATTCTTTTTATCAAAATAACTCTCAAACTGTGGACTACTTTTTCGCTATTTTCGATAAAGATTATATTTAGCTTTAGCTGAGATACGCAGATTCAATCTCACAGACAGAAAAAGATAAAAGTGTTTGTAGCAACATTATTTTGATTTATTTGGATAGAAAATTGCAGTAAACCGTTAATCCATTTACATATTTTGAGAAACATATATTCAGAACTTACTCTTCTACTTCAAGTTATTCATAAGAAAAAGATTTAGAACTCATTCATTCGTCAGAAAAAAATTCATGTTTCAACGACAGACGTTTTTAGTGACATTACCCTACCTAAAAACCCAGATCTTACTAGGTTACAAAATCTTTAGTTACTTTCTATAAATCAACAAAATTCCACACTTGTCATTACTTCATCAAGCCCTAATTGTGAATTTTGCGACGTTCTTCGTAGTTAGTTATGGTTAATGAGTACTTCACGATAGTTGAAAATGGCCTTTCATCGTATATTGTGAGCTGCATTTGGTAAAGTCAAAACTAGAATTTAGTCAAATTCTAGATTTGTTCGGATAAATCTTGAATTTGAGTCAAATTCTTAGTTAGAAACTATTTTCATGGTACTTCGACGAGTACTTTATTACATTTTTTTCTATTCGTCTTAAAAAATAATTTAAGTCGTTTCCTTGTATCAGATTCACTACTCTTGGTGTTTCATTAATATTTGTGAACCGCTTTAAGGACAGTTATTTTTTGTTTTAGTGCGATGATAACAGCGAACTAAATGAATTACTGTTGTTTATTATCGTTACCACTATTACACCAATATTCAAAAGTTAAAATAATTATAATGACTCTTTCATAATAATGAGTTATTAAATATGAAATGGTTTGCTAATGCGAATTGGTTTAAATGTAACAATTTTCTTATTTTCATTAATATTAGGCTACTTTTTGGGTATTTATTATTGGCAAACGATTGGTCAAATAATATGTAAAAACTCTCAGCAAAAGGCAGATTTCTATGATCAATTTTTATATAAATCAAAATCATGTTCATCATCAACGTCAACTAAATTTTTGACTATTGGTGTTATTAGCTCATATGAACGTCTATATACTCATTTATCTGCTATTCTAAAAACATGGGCAAAAATCAACGATTCATCAGTCGAAATTATATTTTTTATTGAAGAAAATCCACAATTGCCTGTCTTATACGATATAAATGATTATTATACTAAACTATTTTTGACTGTAAATGAACATAATTCATGTGTGTACGTTGTTCGACTTCGTCATGTCATTAATCAATATCCACCACAACTGAAAGGATTTTATTTAATTAAATATTTATACCTTTTTTATGGTCATCGAACATCGTGGATACTAAGATTAGACGATAATGCCTATGTCAATTTACCGAAATTAATTAAATGGTTAAAATCATTAGATAAACGAAAATTACTGTATATTGGACAAGGAGGAACAGGACGTCAGAATGAAAATATACATTTTAAAAATGGACAATATTTCTGTATGGGAGGCTCAGGAGTAATCTTATCACAAATGACATTGAATAAACTCGGTCCAAAATTAGACAGTTGTTTAAGGACAGTTCTCACAAATCATGAAGACGTTGAAATAGGACGATGTATTATTGAACATGTTCATATTCGTTGTACAAACGCTTTTGATTCAAACACATATTTTTATCATCATTATGGGCCTAATTATTCGTTTGGTCATGATTTTACACCCGACAAAGTTCAAAAATCTTTTATCATTCATCCAATTAAAAACGTTAGTACATTTTACCATATTGAAGTTTATAAACAACGTTGTAAACGAGAACAAAATAAAAAACGTTTGAATAGTTTAATAAAACAAAAGAAAAATACTATTAAATCATTTAAATCAAAATCTTTCTATCGACCGTTCACTACATTTATCCAGCGAGTAAATTTTGATTTATCAAAAGATATTCAACTACAAAATTTTGATGTCAGATGGAAAAGTTACGTTGAATCAATTGTTGAAAAATATGTGAATGATTTAAAATATCGTTGGAATCGAAAAACAAATTGGACATTAATAAATGGCAAATATATATTTGGCTATTATCGATCATTACCGACAAACAATGTTGAACTAATTATTGAAATAATATTAAATACCACTTTTCAATATTCAACTCATCCTCGATTAGCAATTGTTCGAAAACGTATTTATGTAAGCAAAGCAGTGTTTGATGACAGATTAGAATATCGTGAAATTATGAAAACTGATCAGATTAACAATGATAAATTGAATCTAATTGTTGTATCAAGTAATAAAGATGATGCTTTGAGACGTTTTATTAAAAATTTTCAACAAGAAATATTGAATTCGACGTCATCACATCAAATATTAACATTAACATGCATCTATTTTCATCTTTCTGAAACAACAACATCAATATTGCCGGATGACAATAATTCACCGTTGAAATTGATTAATGAATTAGCTAATCAATATCCAACAATTGTACAAAAACCAATTATTTACAATGTCAGATTTAATCGTGGCTACGGTAGACAATTAGGCGCAAGTCATTTTAGTCCAAATGATTTATTATTATTTGTTGATGTTGATTTAATGTTTACATATGATGCATTAATAAGCATTAGACGTTTTATGTTACATCAAATTAAATATAAACCTAACGAATTGGCAAAATGTACAGTCTATTTTCCAGTTGTTTATTCACATTTTTCCCACAATAGTAATAATAGTCAATGTTCATTTAGTAATATGTGTAGTAAACATAATATTACGTCAAAACATGGAGCATTTTCTATTTATGGTTTTGGAATGGTTGCCACACAAAGGAAAGATCTTGATAGTATTGGTGGATGGGAAACTGATAATGTTGATTGGGGCGGAGAAGATGTCAATTTATTTGGAAGATTTACGAAAGCTGGTTGTACAGTCTATCGAATAGCCGAACCGGGTCTAAGACATTGTTATCATCGAAAAATGTGTCACGGTATTACAAATAAGAAGAGACAGCGAATGTGTAGAGAAGCGGAATCAAACTTGTATGGAAGTCATTCTGACATGTATTCACATATAGTCAATTCGCAATTATTAGAGATATCTTAAATTTTTCTCATAATTATATAATAAATTTCGCATACCTATGAAGAAAATAGTCGTTTTGTTTCTGCAGCATCATGTTCTCCTCATTATTCTTAAAATCCATCGAAATGTATCGACGACTCAAAAATGTACCAATCCGCTCGATATTTTCTTATCCAAATCTATTTACAACACTCTGGATTAAATAAGTTTAAAGTATTTTACGCAACTGCTGTAGATTATTAGTATTATTATGTTATATTTAAAAGCCGAAAAGATCCCAGTATGTGCATCATGCAGAACTTCAAAAAGGGAGTGTAAATGCTTTTGTGCATGCTATACAATAAAATGTAAACCCATAACTTTTATCAAGTTTTTTTCATGATTTGATAAAGCTATGCAAAAAGATGCGTAATCTTTTCTATATTTCAGTATATGCGTATTCCTAGATCCTGATTTTTTCTTACAAACTTTACAGAAAAAGTAGTCAGAAATGAAATAAGGATATCGCTCTAGGATTTTGGCAAAAACAAGATCTTTTTTTCATTGAAACGGATACTTTAGCCAATAAAGAGCGAAACCTGTAAAACACGGTTAAGATTCTCTTTTTGTTCATACTGTGAAGAGACAGGCGAAAGAGATTCTTTTCTTTGATAAATCATCGATGGGTAATTGTTCTCGTTTGCCTTTGGCTTTCCAAAACGGAAAAGGTCTTCGATCTTTTTCTTTAAAACATAAAATTCGTTTTATTTAGTTTTTTGAAAACGTCTTTTCTTAGAGCATATAAACACGTCTCGTTATCTCGAAACACATTTTTATTTTCTCTTAGTTACTTCAGCCTGCACGTTGATGCGCTTATCGTAGCGAATGCACTGGAGAGTGAGTACTTAGGTACTTGCAAATTTCGAAAAATACTTGGTCAGATAATACTTGGAAAGTTTTTATAAATCAGTTCTTGACAAGTATTCGCTCGAATACTTCAAGTTTTAGTTTGATAAATATCTGTATTACCTGTGCTAGTCCTTCCTTATTTATACTTCTTAAATTCATCTGAGAGGTAGTTTTTTAACTTTCCAAAATGCCCAAGGACTGTGGACATTACTGATCCAAGCACTTGCCTAAGTACTAGTACACAACTACATTTACTAGGGTAGCTTTCAGCACGACGTTATATACTACATATATATATATACTATATATATATTGTAGCAAAATTTTGTGGACGATAAGTTATCACTTCTTGCAACATCTTGTCTTGTGAGAAGCGAAGAAAAACATGTAACGTTGTCTGCTTTCTCCATAATTCAGTTTCTAACATTCCAAAAAACAAAAAGTGCTGGATATCTGCCTCTTGTCGACATTTGAACAGCTGTAGAAGTCGTTTCATATAAAAAATTTTGTATACTTAACTGCGTTCAAAATGAAATATGAATTGAAACGCGTTCCGACGACGAGCGAGTTTTCCAAGGTGAGTGGGGTCCTCGATCAAACTAAATTGTTTTTTGAAGTGTTAGAAACTGAATTATGAAGAAAAGCAGACAACTTGTATGCTCTCTCTCGCTAGCAGTACAGGAGCTCTTGACATCTTGTGGTAAGGTCTACTTCGACTCGCGAGCTTGAATCTTCTGCGCATTTAGAATAATAACTGAACTCATTGGTTCGAACGGATTTTATAACATGTAGAAAGATATTTACGCTCACTGTTTGAAGTTCTGCACGATGCACGTACTGGATCTTTTCAGCTTTTAAATATAATATAATCATACTAATATAGAGCAGTTGCGCGGAAGTGTTTAAGTAAATACAAAACTAATCATATTTTTCTCGGATTATCCTTCTGTAAATAGTTTTGCACAGATAGATACTTTGGCTAGAATATTTCTTACACTAAAGTAAAATTAGGAAAATGGAGTAATGTCAAGAACGTTCGTACTTTTTGACTAATTTCTTCTATGAAAAGTTAATATAACTATTTGACACAAAACTCATGTTGCTCTACTCGAATTTATAGCTTTGATCTAAAAAACTAGTTTACTAAGGATGCACGCCATCTCAAAGTTCAGAGAAAGTGAAAATGGAGCATTCTACGATAGATTCTACGATAGGACGTAAAATGCATGCAGCGAACAATGGTGACATCTTCTGTTACAAATGGAGTCAATTCGGATAAAAGTATAATGGTTCGTTTTGCAATTGAATTTAAAATTAAAGATGGATTTTTGATAGTCACAACACGTCTCAACGTTCATAATCCATGCTATTCTGGAAAGTATACATTATTCATCGCTGCTACGTTACTCAGGCACTTCATCGATAATAATGGAGTTCTAAAAAAAAATTTTCATACCAAAATAATATCAGATGAAAGAAAGTTAGGTGTAAAAGATTCACATGATTCGGTACAATCAAAGTTTTTAGGCTAATATTAAGTTTTGTAAACTGAATTTTTTATTAGTCTCTCTTGACACTGATAGAGTAGGATTGCTCAAAGAGAATAAATTACTTTTAAAGTCCGTTTCTGTCGTAGATTATAAACATCTGCAAACAAATCATTCGTGCTTCATACTTGGTTATGGTATGAAGGCAGCATCTATTGATCTTCTGCCGTATGATAAACCGAAATGCTTATGGAAAACTATTTCTGACACATTAATAGACTCTGAACGTGAATATTGTAAATACACACTCGGACACGCCTTAGTCGAACAATGTGAAGAAATTGAACAAGAAATAGAGAGTTTACTTGATATATGGAGAGACTACAGGTAAAATGGAATTACTATTTTCCTTATTATTATATAACCAGTTGTAATTTTTGTATGTTTTAGAACTGAAACGGTCTATGGATCTACTGCTGGTGTAGGACAGAATATGATGCCAGATCCACCAGTTGTTCGCTCACGATTAAAGAAAGAAATTGAATTTTTTGTAAAACATATTCATGAACAATGTGCGAACGATGATAAATTATTTCATAAACGTTTGTCAGCACATAACTGGAGTGCTATTAATTATTCTCTAACCACTGATACAAATAGCCGAGTAAGAGAAAGACCGATAAGTGCACGTGATAAAAGTGGCCGTGAAACACCGATTATCGACATCGTATCTCCAAGATCAGATATCATAGTGGCAACCAAAGAACGTGTAATAGATGCTTCATTAATTCGTAGTAAATTAGAAACATTCAATTTGGATGATATCGTTGATCAACTTCGACAAGCATTGCAAGAAGATGTTAAAACATTAGAAGAACATGTCAAATATCTTCATGTAATATATCGGACTATCGGGTGTTAGTCAAATAGAGATCGGTAGATCTAGAAGAGTAAAGTAAAGTGTGCTAAACAACAAGAAAAATCGAAAAATTTTTCGCTTTAAATTTTGTATGCATGATCATTAAAGTGTGTGTAGAAACAGTAGAGGAAAACACATTGTTATCTATCGTGCTCTCAAATAAGTACTATTTGTTTTCTCTATTTAAGGAACGACTAGATGAAGAAGCAGATTTTCGTGCAAAAACACGTGGTTTATTTCGAGAACCAACGCTTGGAGGTGCAGTTATTCGATAGTCTTTTATTTTTGAGAATGAAACTGAATTGATTTTTAATTATTTATTTTAGAGTTGAAAGAAGAACGAAATCGTCTAGAAAAAGAAGTACTTGGATCATCAACTAGTGGTGGCATAAATACTTCTATTGATCAGCATACGTTATTAAATCGGTATAAAAATTATAATATCTTCCTACTATCTCGCCTCTGCTAGTTGTGAAAACTCAAACTGACTAATAGGATATATGTACGAAATAAGTTTAGATCTTGACTATAGAAAGAGTGCAATCCGATTTTACCGGGTTTCAAGACACTTTTTTTTTATTCTAGGCAAGATTCTTTAAACGACAATAGTCGACGTTCATCAACTAGCTCAACTGCTTTATCCAGCCCTCGTTCGTCACTTGATAGTACAATGAACATTCGTCCAAGCGCACAACCTCTTCGGGCCACTCATTCTCTGCTATCTACGACTTCGTCTTCTAATAACAATGATTTAACGCCTATAGCACGAGAACCTGTTCAACACCGTAAACCACGTTTATCCATCGATAAAAAACCTGCCTCATCTGTTAATGAACAACCTCTTGCAACATCTTCGAGACCACTTACAACAGCCAATGCTCATGTTCTAGTCAAACTTGGTTCGATTAAACATTATGATTTAGTTAAGAAATATTCGACTTTATCAAAAAATAGTTCTGCTGTTGAACAACCGATGTTAAATGAGATAGAAAAAACAAGATTAAACGGAGCTGAAAGGTTTCGCAGAATGGTGCTTGAATGCCGTGATAATGATTAGTTTGATTTTTTCAGTTTTGTGAAATTGTATTCTCACACTGTTATTCTTTTTTTGATAGATTTAAGGTTTTTCGCTATGAACAAAATACATCGTTTTTTCTTTATAAAAATAACTTTTATTTATATTCCAATGCACATGTACACAGACTTTCTGATGTTTGTTTTAGCAAACCGGTGGTTAATTCTATTCTTTGCCTAATAAACAGAATAGTTGGCAACGGATTAGATTGCATGAATATTCGGCTGAGTGCAATAGTGTTAGTCTCTCGCTTGTACTAGAAAAAATAAAGTACAAAATGTTTGTGAAAGTATCGAAAAAAACCTTTCATCATTTAATTTTAATTTGTTTTCTTCTGAAAAGTTATAATCATTATCCATTCATCGATATTCTATTCATAAATGGAACACGTTATAGACTATTACATAAAGACAACGAAGTATCTGTTCAGAAAAATGCTCAAGAACAAGCCTGTTTTTTCAAAACCACGTTCATCAGTTTTCAATAACAAGAAATATGAGTTTATCAAATCGGTTTTTTGTAAAATTTTTAGTCTTTTGAATAACAACAAACAAACAATAGTTAATTCAAACTGATTAAGTATGCTACTGTTTGCTGTACGCAATGCTTCAACTAAAAAACTGTTCAAATTTGATGCGTAAGGGACATCATTAAAGCTAATTTAAAGTAAACATACAATGAAAATAAACACTTTTTTTTGTCTGATTTTTTTGCTAACAGTTTTCATCAGACAGCACGCGCAATATATTCAAAACACTTAACGTTTCATACAGAGAAAACAATGAAATAATCGACATCAAACTTTTATATTCGTAAGAATATTTAACAAAAAATAGAAGAGAAAAAGAATCTACTTAATAAAAGAAAACATAATGAGCACCATTCAAATATAAAAACTAAAAATAATGATGATTTTTCTTCAATTTTGTTGATTCCACTTTTGAATAATAAAAGAAATTCTAACCGCTTTTCTTTCTTGTAATGATATATATTACGTGTCGAACATTAAAGAACAAATTTGTAACGATTTTAACCGTTTTCTCTTAAATCTTTTGCATAGGAGGAAGATATGAAATTAATCATAGCGCTTCCTGTATCTTACAAGTATCATTTATATTGATCCTGTGAAAAACGTAAGTCATTCCGCTATGGCTGTCCCAAGATGTCGCATTAGTCGTAAGATTGAATACTGTACGATGGTGTTGTAGGGTACAGTTTTTCATTCATTAACACTGAAGCTTTTGATTTACGGAAAGTAATCACAAACTTTGATAATCAACTTTGTTCTTTAAGGATTTTGAAATAAGAAATATTCAAAAATATAGACACAAACTGCTTTAGTTCACTTTTCCTGAAAAAATTCCCAGAGAATTACCTAACGGATTCCCCAGGGAGTTCCCAAAAACGAATAAATGCTGAATTCGACTCCTGTGCTCAATTTTAAACATAATTTAGCTTTTTTTTTCCTCGATTTCCGACCAAATTGAAATTTATTTTATATAAGAAAAACTACCATTTTCTTTCCAAAATTCTTTCTTACCTGAGCCATCCAGTGGACAAGTCACTCGGCTGAAAAAGTTAACTCACGTCGAAACGACGAGTTAACGCCGACGAGTCTCAGGCAGAAGCAGCTATACTGGTCTAAAAAAGAAAGAAATTAATCTAAAAAGATGAGATGTTCCTGTTTAAATTTTCATGTTTTATATATTTCTGCAGACGCAAAACAAAACGGTGAATACATTGTACATCCTTCCTAAAAAAGCTCTAGAGAATCACCAGGGACTTCATTAAATCTCCCACTCACCGACTCAGGGAGTGGGGAGAAATAATGGGGGTCACTAGGGATTTCACAGGAAATTCCTGAGAACTCCCTAGGGATTTCACGTTATTTTGAGGATTCATCGGGGACTTCATCAGGGAAAGTGGACTAGGGTCACCTACTATTAAGAAGAGTAAGTCATTTATTCCTTCACTTTTTCTGGTAGTTGTCCTATATTTAGATGGCAACACTTTCTGTTCCTTGTATTACCGATTCGAAAAGTCGACACAGTCGAAGTCAATTACATATGGTAACACCAACATCACGTGTTCCCAACGAAACAGTTACAGAAGAATGGTGGCCGTCGATGAATACAAAAGAAAAAACAATATTAGCTCTCGCCAATGACATAACGCATCGAGCAGGAAATTCCAGTAAAGATCCATTAACATTAAAGTCAAAAAGTTTACTAGTACCTACACGTCTAGCATTAAAACGTAATCGTGGCGAATTCGGAGCGCCTTCTCTTTTTCGTAAACCAGCAATATTCGATGGACTTCAAATGGAACTAGGCAATCTCGATAAAGATAACGACTTTGAACCTGGTGAATACCAATATGAGAAAAATCAATCTTTAAAAAACCAACAGACAATGACAAATAATGACAACGCTTTTAATATGTTTAATACTCGTAAACATTCGATTTCAAATCACAGTGCACCTTTAGAGATGCAACGCAATAACACTAATAAACCATCAACTCCGCACAGTCTTCCACAAACACAAGTTGTCTCGTTGTTATACAGGTTGGTTGCATATTTTCTCACGATTCTACAACTGATATTTTGCTATTGGTACATTATAGAGAAAAACCTGAGTTTGCGCATCCTGTATCAGGTAACTACATAATCCAATATGCAGAAGACATCAGTCCGTCGCCTTGCTCATATTTGGTACCACGAAAATCTTGTCGAGAGAAAAATGCACCATCATATACGTTCGGTACTCGTTGTTTTGTTGAGAAGAGTAAGCTGAATAGAACATTCGAGACAAAGACAATTCTTTCGTTATTTAATTTTAGAAGGAGGTTCTCGAACAAGTTGGAATAAAGAATGGTTTTGTCATTCGAATCCTTTTACCCGAAAAGTTGATTTTGGACGTGAGGTTGTTTGGCCAACGCCATTTCATTACAGAGTTCGACCCACAATAGGATCGCATCAACCAGTAAAAATTAGTTTTCCATCGTGGTCTTTTGGACAAAAATTCCCATCAGCAGATGAAAATGTTGAAACTAAACCCCATGAACAAGTACCCGGACCTGACTCATATGATGTTTTGTCAGCGTTCAGAAATATGTCAAAATCAAACGCTTATGTCACATTAAAATCTAGACAAAATGGCACACAACTTTGGAATCAAACGAAAGGTACATAAATGTTAAAGCAATTATAATTTGAAAATATTGTGTATATCATTTTACATCTAAAAACATTACTGCCAGAAATTTGAATACATGTTTATAATAGACCCTTTTTTGTTTAGAAAAAAATCCCGGTCCCGGCACTTATAATCATATCAAATTTCATACAGACAAACATTCTAGTCCAGCATATTCTTTTGGAAAACGAATTCCAACAAATTTATCAAATGATCCTTATATCAGTGTTTTACCAAATATAGAAAGTATTTAACATTAAAATGTTATTCCTTATTATTTGTATCTTCTATTGTATCGATGTATAAATATATGTCAGAAAAGTGGAAAGTGGTATTAATATCGTTTTATATGAGAACTACGCGAACATCGAAATATTCGTTTTGCTAATTTAATCTAAAATAAAGAATGATCTAGGAATATTTTTGCTCATGTATTTGATGTATAGACATGTTTTTAAGTTTGATGTCAGTTTTAACTTCATTATTATGCCTTCTACGATAAACTTCATAAAATAATTCTTGAAGAACTATATAGTGACGGTTTTTGATGCATAACAGGAAAATAATATATGGTTTCTATAGCCTAGCTGGTAAAAGCGCATACACTGTTTAGTCTTATAGTACTTCAATACTAAACATACAATCGACTTCATTTCCTGCATTTAATTCATTCATTTTTTAATACATTAGAGCGGAAATACTGTATTTTGTAGAGCAGTACACTTTTATTGACAAAACAAGAGGCATGCCACGTTTTTACCATGAATTTATCAAATACTGTACAACAAAATAGACAAAAACAATAACGCACACACTCTTCACTCTTAGACAGAACGAGAGTTAGTCAATTGAGCGGACGTACAGTAATAATAAAGCACTCCCGCTATATATTCAGCAACGTGAGAAAAACGTGCTATTTTGCCATATTGTCATTTTCTAATTTCATAGCTTTTCGTGTTCTTTATATCTGAAAGTTTTTATTCATTTTTCTTATATTGAAACTATTTTTGTTCGTATAGTTCTTATTTACACATTATATACTTGCTAACAGTAAAATATCATAGATCTACATAGATATAACTACATAAACTAAAATAAAGAAAAATACTTCCAAAGAATACAAAATGGAGCAATATATTACATAAACACACATATCTACATTATTTACAAGAAAAATATTAATTCACCAATTTAAAATACTCACTTTTTCTTCTATACATTATTATTATGTACAGAACTAAGTGGCGAAAATTTCTAATTAATAAAAACTACTGCGTGTGGTAATATCATGCATTAATAAACTTCAAAATGAATATAAAAGATTTTTACAAAAAGAATAAGTTAACTATTTACAGGATATTTTATATGATTGTATATTTTTTTTCCATCATCACTTTTTAACATGTAGATGACATGGAGAAAATACAGAATCAGCGATTCTATCGAATCACTAGTGAATCTACAGAATCACCAGTGAATCTATAGATTTTTTAACAAGATCAGAGAAAGTATAGAATGAATTTTGAACTTCACTATAAAATAAAATTAAAACAACTTTTTAGCATGATTTTTATAAGTTGAAATTTTATATAAACATTTTGAAGTTCAATACAGTTCAGTGCTATGGTCAGTATTCGAACTAGTTAGCAAAGTTGAAACAAATAACTTTTCAACTAAAAAATTTTAGACTTTTTATACTACTCGACACATGAAATGTTAAAATATTTTGTTCATGATTCCACTCGTCTGTTTCCATTATGAAAGAAGTTTAGAGTTCATTCTTTA